CCATTGTGAAAGTAGAGAATTTGAGGTTTCTTATTTAATTGCACTTCGATCCTTCAACCGCAAACCAACTATCAATTTTAGTTTTGTATCTTTTGGCAATACATGCAGAATAAACAAAGATAGCAGCAGAGACCATTTCTTGAGATATGCACAGTAGCTACATAGGTGCCCATGGTATGTCTGGGCAAATGCCAGGGCTGCAGGTAAATCGCAGCTGGTCTCCCTCACCGTAAATATTTTCGTTGTTGTTGTTAAATCCAGGGTCTGGCACCAAGAACTGTCAAGACCAGGCAGCTGCAACTGCCACTGTGCTGTCGCACGCTGGGCCTGTGAAAGAGTCTGTAGACAGGACGTGTTTTCTGTATGCCCAACGGAATGCCGGGGGTGCGTCGGATTAGAGGCCCTTTGGATTTCCCTAAACAAAGTCTTTAGAAACTTGGAAAGTTTAACAAAGTTCTTTATTATTGCTTAGGTCTTCAATAAATCAAACAAATACTTCAAGGCTTTGAATCAACTGGTGGCTTTCTTAATCTTGTCCACAAGGGACAGGCAACTATCTTCATGAACTGTTTCTTCACTATCAAGGAAATCCTTGACCTTTACCTGGGCAATCTGTCTTAGGCTCTGCTGGCGTGGGCCCCTGCACCCGGTCCAAATTGCGTTATGGCTGCCATGAGTGGTCCTTACCAAACAGTCCTTTTGTAGATTTCCAAGAGGAAAGAAGGTCTTCAATTCCCAGCGAAGGCTGGCTGTAAAGCTGTGGGACTGGATTCCCCCCAGCAAAGGCTATGCTTCTCTGTAGAGCTGTGGGACTGAATTCCCTCCAGCAAAAGAGCTGCTATAAAAGATGATGCTTTCTACAGTCCACTGACTCACGTCCTGTACGAAGGGCTTCTCTGTCTGAACTGAACTAGAGGTCCCCTTTTTCCCTCCTTAACCCAGAAAAAGGGGCGGAACTAAAGAACATAATGATAATTGATGGGTCATTGGCCCTATGATTGCAAACCAAGGGAAGCCACCTTATTGCAAAATGCATGGAACCTTGGAATACATGCAAACACTCAAAGAAAGAAAAAGAAGTTGGAGCTCCTGGTACAGCCGAACCAGAACAGCCACCATATTCAGTACTCATTCAGTACTGTGCTCATTCAGAAAAAGACCCACAAGCCACTCTAAATACCTTTGCAGAAGCATATGAAAAGCATGGCCTCTCACTGAACATTGAGAAAACCAAAGTGCTTTATCAGCAGGCACCAGATAATCTCTCTGCAATGCCAGAAATACAGGTTAATGGTGCAACATTAAAAAATTGACAATTTTCTCTATCTTTGCAGCCACTTCTCCACAAAAATTAACATTGATACTGAAATACAACACCACGTGAGCTCTGCAAGTGCAGCATTTTTTTTTAATGAAGCAGAGAGTGTTTGAGGATCGGGACATCTCTAGGGATACCAAGGTGCTTGTTTATAAAGCTATTGTCAAACTAACCCTGTTATATGCCTGCAAAACATGGACTGTCTACAGACGTCACACTCAACTTCTGGAACTATTCCATCAGCATTGCCTCTGAAAAATCCTGCAAATCTCTTGGGAAGACAGACAGACAAATGTCAGTGTGCTGGAAGAAGCAAAGACCACCAGCATTGAAGCAATGATCCTCCACCATCAACTTCGCTGGACTGGCAAAATTGTCTGAATACCTGATCACTGTCTCCCAAAGCAGTTACTATACTCTCAACTCAAAAATAGAAAACAGAATGTTGGTGGGCAGGAAAAGAGATTTAAAGATGGGCTCAAAGCTAGGCTTAAAAACTGTGGCATAGACACTGAGAACTGGGAAATCTTGGCCCTCGAATGTTCTAACTGGAGGTATGTAGAACTTGTTACCAACAGTGCTGCGGATTTCAACAAGAAATGAATGGAGAGTGAAAGGGAGAAATGTGTCAAGAGAAAAGCACGTCAAACCAACCCTTCTCGGGGCCACCTTCCATCTGGAAATCAATGTCCTCACTGCAAAAGAACATGCAGGTAAAGAATAGGTCTCTATGGACTTACCAGCAAGACCCTACACTTGGAAGGCAATCATACTCGGCCACGAGTGATAGCCTATGATGATGATGATTCAGTACTCCAATTTGTCTTCTGGATCCCATCACACACAATGTAGTATTTATCTATGACACACTATGTGGAAATGGAAATAGTGGCTTCCACAACCTAGTGCATCTCTTCTCAATGTCAGACTAAGGAAAAACTATAGACCTGGAGATGCTGTGCCTTTTAGTGCTACATGTCTAATGACAATGCCATTCCTGGGTTGTTGTAGGGTTTTTTGGGGGGGAGGGGGCTATATGGGCATGTTCTAGAGGCATTCTCTCCTGACGGTTCACCTGCATCAATGGCAAGCATCCTCAGAGGTACTGAGATCATTCCTGTTTGCCACCGATTCCTGTCAAGTGTTCTCGGTTCTGGTCACTGTCCACTGCTGTCTCTGATATTTTCAAAGGTTATTTAAGAGAAGGACCCCTCCACCCATCAGTGCATCTGTCATTTAAATACTGGGTACAATGCCCCTGTGCTAGAAATGTGCCACCATGAGCCATGTTTGCTAAACATGCATGTAAAATGAAATGACCTTGTGTAGAAATGATTTTTACTAAAAATCTTCAAACTTTACTTTTAAGGTAGGGCCCCTTACATCTGCCTGTTTTGTAAAACGAAACATGGAAGAGGTGTTGGCTGCGGAATTAGAGCCCAGCCAAGAAGAGCAACTCCCTCAGCTACACCCAGAAACAACAACTATTTAGTCTGCTGGCCAAATACAAGATAATTTAGTGGAGCTGGCTGAGGAAGATTTGATGGTGCCTTTCTTTCTGGAACAGAGAAGAAAAAAAATTAGCTGAGGGTTCACTCAGGATCTTGAGAGAATGATCAGAAATAGAGATCAGCTGTAAAATCAGCATTTAAGGCTTTTCAGTATGCTACCGTATTGCTGGTGGCAATGATTGAAACCACGCCTTGGTTTATGTGCTCTGGAGAGCTGTAGACACTGTTTGGAGTTTTGGACAGTTTAATTGCTTGTAAATTTTGTGATTGGATTGAATCAGGACTGGATTTTGGCTACTCTTCTGCTTGTTCCTTGAAAGTTTGTTGTTATTTTTTTAAAGAAATTTTTATTAAATTTTATATAGAATACAACGAAAGAGTGAGAACAATATAGTATAGAAAAGTGAAGAAGAAAAGAGAAAGAGAAAAACCAGTACGGTAAAAAGTTAAAAAAAAAAACATCCTTAATAAAACCCTAAAAAATAAAAAAATAAACTACAAAAATATATCCACACACACAAAAGGAAAAAGAAAAAGAAAAAAAGGAAAAGTGACTTCCATTCCATCTTCTTGGATAAAATATTCTTGTTATTCAAAAATATATTAAAAAATTATTAAACATAATAAAATTGTCTCTTATTTTTTTTTCTGCAAATTGTCCAGATAGTTATGAAGATTGTCCCAATTCGTTCTTTTTATTATCATGCCTGTATTTTTCTTCAACAAAAAAGTCAATTTGTCCATGTCCTTTATTTCTCTGATTTTTTCCACCCAATCCTGTATGGGTGGGACTGAGCCTTGCTTCCACTCCCTAGCAAAAACAATTCTAGCAGCGGTCGTAGTATATGTAAAAAATTTATCCTCTTGTTCCATCAGTTGAAGATCTAAATCTGTAAAGCCTAACAAGTAATACCCTGGTTTTCTTGTAAAAGTCCTTTTTAAAATCTTTTGCATCTCTTCATGAATTGCCCTCCAAAATATTACTGCTTCTTTACAAGTCCACCACATATGGTAGAAAGTTTGTTGTTATTGAGAATTGACTGGCTGACCTCGGACTGTATGACTATGCTGTTGGAGACTCCAGGACAAGGTACTTGACACCCCATAAGATTCCCCACTCAAACCTGAACAGACTAGACTGGGACAGAGAAATGAAGATATTACACTAGTCAATATAGAGTCACAAGAAATATTTATTCCATTCTTTTATTTTACTATTGTCCCTTATTAAATTGTTTTGTGGGAGGGCTTTTCTGCAATATTACAAAAACTGAGTTTATGGAATGAACAACAAACACATCTCAACTACCATTACTTCCATTGTTCAATCTCATTTGTACAATATTGAGGCAAAGAGGACCTTGTTGATTGGTGGCATTAGATTAAATTAGTATTTCACGTTAATATACAGTCACTGATTTGCAGATAGTTAGTGGTGTACTTTAAGAGTTAGCAATATCACTTAGTACCTTCAAATACTTAGCAGTAAACCATCAAATATTATTTTGAACTGTGCTTTAATGCTTAGTAATCCAAATAAATGTATAAAGGTGCAGTTTAAGAGCTTTTCAACATACATAAATGTGAAAAAAACATTTGTTTTAATTCTGTTATTCTTCTTTTAACAAAATGTTTAAAATATATACATTATCTATTGAGCCATGAGAACTGAGTTGAGATGATGATTTTGAATGAACTGCAACAGGCTGAAATACAAGGCAGTTCTGAAAACAAATTGCAACCAACAGTCCCTACAAGGAATGTAAACAGTACTTTTAACTGCATTTCTGGCTTGGGGCACAACCCAGGATGATGTTTTCATGTGGAAGTGCTATTAAAAAGAACTGAAAATGTGCAAGAACATGGCTGTACTCTGTAAGTCCCTTTTATTTCAATAGCTTTCTCTGCAAAAATTCTGTGCCGTAGATATAAAGGCTACCATTATTTCTCCTTGAAGTCCAGTTATGTCCCCTGGAAAAGAACATTAAAAGGATCTTCCCCTTTCTGAATCCCCACTGATTGCTTGGCTAAAATGACAATAAACCTGTTTTGGCTGTAAAAATAGTGACATCAGTATATGGTAATGTAAAGCTGAAATGATCTACCATCATCTCTTCTTTCTTGCTATTAATGTTTATAACTCCACAGTCTAAATTTGGGGTTTTTTAAAAATAATTTTGTATTTCAAATGAAAAGTTTAAGATTCAGCTGAATAGCTCAGGACAGTAGCATGTTTTAAATTGGTTCTGAATAAAAGAATGTTGTCCTTCCAATATAGAGCACAAAAGTGCTTGATTTTCCCCATAAACAAAATTAAGTATGAATGAAGAACTGGTAAAGTATTCACAAGCTTATTCAGTTGTCAGGAAGGATAGTTTTAATGGCACAGTTTTAAATATTTGGAGTCAGGCAAACCGCAAATCCTTGATGCAGAAACCATGTAGCAACCTTTGAATCATTTTAAGAAAAAGACAATTACTCACAGATACAACTTATTTTGGCCACAAAAGGAATAATATATTCTCCTTAGAGATGTTTCACCATGAATTTCTATTCCAGCCAATAATTACATGTATGATATTGCAAAAGAAATAGGTAACTGGAGCATCTAGTGTTCAAACAAGCTGAGGAACCTGAAATGAAAGAAAAATACAGTACAGCGGTTGCTGAAATCCACACTCAAACGGGGATTTTATTAGGTCATCCTATCTTTCTAAATAATCGCATTTTTTAAAAAAACTACATCAATTTTATATGCACAGAGATGTACCAAAAAAGTCAGCATAGGGCTTCTATTGAAACAAGGCTTAACACTGACTCAGCTATATACACATATACTGTATATACTCGAGTATACGCCTAGTATTTCAGCCCTATTTTTAGGCTGAAAAAGTCCCCCTCGGCTTATACCCGAGTCAAGGTTATTTATTATTTTACTCTGTTATTATTATTATTTTCATTTCATTTATTATTTTATTCTATTTATTATTATTACATTTATAATTTTACTCTATTATTATACATTTATTATTTTACTGTATAATTGTTGTTATTGCTACATTCATTATTTTACTCTTTTTATTATTATTGTTGTTATTATTATATTTATTATGATACTCCATTATTATTGGAAGGATACGTAAGCACATTTACATTGAAGAAGGTAAATAATCATTTAATCAGAGTTGGACAGTATTATCTTAAATTACCATTTTTGTAAATATTCAAAAATATCAAACCTACTAATTCCTCAATTAATGTAATGTAATTGGTATCTATTTTTATTTTGCAATTTACCAGTAGCTGCTGCATTTCCCACCCTCGGCTTGTACTCGAGTAAATCCATTTTCTCAGTATTTTGTGGTAAAATTAGGTGCCTCAGCTTATATTCGGGTCGGCTTATACTCAAGTATATACGGTACATTACTTGTGCAATTTGATTGCATTTTTTCTTGTCTTAGTTAGAAAGTTGACCAAAAGTATAGCATAGGTACTTCAATTAAGTTTAGGTCACAAAACTATGGGGGGCTTTTGGGTCTTAATACTAAGAAACTCTTCACATCTTCCATTTCTTCATGGACAGATCCGGAAAAAAAAGGAAAAGATATAAATGTCTACCTTTCTATATTTTTGTACTCTTTTGAACAAAGTCATTATAGGTGTCATATTTCATGTTGAAAGCTAAAGTATATTATCCATAAGGAATAATACTGTTGGCAGTTCCTAGGTTTCAGGCAAGTTCTTAAGTTGAATTTCTATGTAAGTCAGAACACATATAATTTTGTGTAAGTCGGAAAAAATGGCAAAAGACACACTCCTTATAATTTGGTCAAAAATGGTGCACATTACAGTTGTCTTAGAATTCCTTTTTAAAAACAAAAGCGCTAGAACACCACATCTTCCAGCAATGCAAAGGAAAACCCCAGACATAGGTAACCTTTTCCTCAAGGAGCCTTTCCTGTTTATCCCATCTCAGCTTCCTTGGGATACATCAATGCTGTAGACTAGTGGTCCTCAACCTGAGAGTACCCAGATGTTTTGGCCTTCAACTCCCAGAAATGCTAACAGCTGGTAAACTGGCTGGGATTTTCAGAAGTTGTAGGCCAAAATATTTGGGGACCCACAGGTTGATTACCACTGCTGTAGACTGAATGCAGCTTGACACCACTGTGGAATTCTGGGGCCGGAGAAGGATCTTTAGCCTTCTCTGCCAAAGGTGCTGCTGCTGCTTCACCAAACTACAAATCCCAGGATTGCATAGCATTGAGACAGGATTGAGACATGGCAATTGAAGAAGTGTTAGACACTGATGTTCATAACTGAGGGACTGCCTGTAATTAGAAAATCTAACTCATTAACTAGATGCTTTTGAACTGTGGTGTTGGAGGAAAGTTCTGAGAGTGCCTTGGACCAACAAGTCCATATTTCAGGAAATAAAGCCCAACTGCTCATTGGAGGGAAGGATATTAGAGGCAAAGATGAAGTACTTTGGCCACATCATGAGAAGAAAGGAAAGCTTAGAGAAGACAATTATGCTGGGGGAAATGAAAGGAAAAAGGAAGAGGGGCCGACCAAAGGCAAGATGGATGGATGGCATCCTTGAAGTGACTGGATTGACCTTGAAGGAGCTGGGGGTGGTGACAGCCAACAGGGAGTTCTGGCATGGGCTGGTCCGTGAGGCCATGATGAGTCGGAAGCGACTGAACGAATGAACACTCATTAACACTGTGTGCGGGGGCATGATTTGCATCTTGCTGTTGCTAGCCTCACTACTACAGAATTAGGAAACAGATAACATTGCATAATTTCTGCATGATTCTGTCAAAGGAGGGGAAGGCAGACATCCAAATTCTTATCTCTATAAATTATAGTATGTAAATTGGAACAATTTATTTTATTCTGACTGATTTGAGAGTATAAAAGTTTAATATTATTGCCCCATGGAACTGAACATCTGCTTCCCAGTTCTATTTTCTCTATAGAGTTTGCATGTTAAATCGATGACAAATATTTTAAATCAGATAATAGGCCGATCAGCCTGTTGTTCCACAACAAGTCCTAAAATTAATCCTAATAGATCAGCATTGCTTTCTGGGATTTTATTATTGTTTTCTTACCAGTCATTTTTTTTTTGCCCCGTTCATGCTTTTCTACTCTGAACTTGACAACAGGTTTCAATCTGGATATACTATGAGGTTTATAGCATCCTTCCCACAAAACTGATGCTTACCTTTCTTAAACGAGCTGCCCCAGCACCTGACCGGATTGCTTCCATTAAGGCCTGCCTTGTATCCACTGTGTTTTTTGTCATTTCATTTGTAAAGGACCTGGGAATTTTCTTTGTCAACTTAGGAGGGGGTTGTGGTGGAGGAAGTGGCAACTGATTACATGGAGGCTCTGGTATAGAAGCTTTTTCATTTTGTAGTAATATTTCTGCATTGTGGAAACTCTGCAGCTCCTCGGAAGCAGATGAGGAGGTCTATCATAGAAGAAATCAGAAGCATAGAGAAGAAATTCTATTAATGACAGGTATAAAGCAACAATAATCAACTGATACTGAATGCATAGCTTTCATCTCTCTCTTGGAACAATTTCAGCTTGCTTCTCTAACAGGTTTTGTTTGTCTTTCAGGCATAAACACATTTTGTGGCTTGTTTAAGTCACTTAAAAATAATAACTAGAGTCAAGACTATAATCTTGAAGCAGCCTAAGAAATTCAGTGTTTCTATTGGAATACATGAGTCCCGGAATTGCTTTTGACAAAGAAGGCAAACATAATTACCATTTGTAGTTTGGGATTAATATGATCTATTAGGTAACAGAATAATTTACCAACACTGTAAGGAGGTTCATCTTAAAGTAATGAATGCTCTAAATTTGTGCCTTTGGATTAGCATTCTTCCAATGTATTAGTGTTCATCTAACTACATTTGTCTGGTTTTACAATGTATTGTAATGTAATATAGCTGAGTCATGCACTGCTAATAGGCTTCTATTGGAAATGCTGAGTCATGCATTGACTGTATATAGGGAATCATTTGGGGAATGTGTTCTGGCCTAGTCCAGGTGATTGTGAATGATGTAATCCTGAGTCTGAGTTAGGTTAATGAGTTGGGAACCAATCAGTGATTGCTATGTGTAAATGTACAGAATTATATATAAGGAAGTCATGTACAGTGTATATTTCTCTCCTTGTGCTGTGATGCTGTTTGCCGAAGGCTGTGTAATTTATTAAAGGAACCTGTCTGCTAGGACAAGACATAACCGTGTGCTGTGGTAAGTTTGTAGTGTCATCTAGATTGGAGGGGAAAACAATAGTAAAACTGACAATAGGCGGGCCTGTGCTCAGGTGCCTGTAAAGAGTTCCAGAGTGACTGCAGTTTGTGGGAGCATTTGACTGAAAATACTGTGCAGGAAGAAGCTACTGGAAAGCGTTGAAGTTGTGCAACTGATCTGCTGCTGAATTGTGAGATAAAGCGTGTATCCATTCCAAGATAGTCAAGCTTATTAACAAATCTAAATACTCATGTTTTATCAAGGAAAGAGGCTGGATCTACACAGCCATATAAAGCAGTTTGGACTGGCATTATATGATCAGTGTAAATCCATATAATGTATTTTAACTACAATTGACTTCATTATATGGGTCTATGCTGATCATAGGCTGTCTACATCCAGCCAACACAGACAGCACAAGAAAATGCAAGAGTAACCAAAAGCTTTGGAAAAACTAACAACCCTAAAATCCATAGAATGATCCAGCCTGATATGCAATACAGATGGAAATAATTGTGATACCATTGAGGTTGGCATGTAGATGGCACAAATTCTACTGTTTAGTACTCAGTGTTAAAGAATTGGTCCTCATGCTTTGACAAAGCATTACTAAAGTAATGGTACAGTAAACACTGGCATTTCCTAAGAAAGTATTTTGCTGTACCGAGTACCTCTATGTAGGTATGCTACTTCTCATATTTAACCTTTTAAAAAAACTCTCATATCGGGAGGATGAGATTGGCTTTTACTACCCTGCAAAAAGTAGAAACAATTATAGATTTGTTCTCTGCAATTAGCTACATAGTACTTCGTGATGCAAAATATAAGGTGAGAGGAAAACAAGAAGTGTCTTCCTGTAAAGTACTATATAAAGGAGTATTTTCTGATGAAACACAAATGAACCTCAAACCTTTTTGACACATCAGCAAATAAATGTTTATCGTACAATGGTAAGCTAGTCTTTGGCATAACGTCTTCACAAAAGCACATATCCTTTGATCTGACTGACAGGATCACAAGAACAGCCTTCCCCTAAATTTTGAGGGCATGAGGCTTCTCCTAAGCAGTACAAGGTTTGAATCTGCTGCTTTGCTGCTACAGGGTGCCATAGAAGCCCTGTTATGCCAAAGGGCAGTCACACCATTCACTTGCCCGGGTGCGACTATTATGCAGGGAATGGTAGAAGGCCAGCTTTGCTGCTATGGAAATGGGAAAACAACTATTGTGCAATGAAATATATATGATGGTGACTATTATGCAATGAAATATAGTAGTTTGTCAAGTGTGAGATCAGTAGTACTACAAGTAAGGCAGCTTAGATGTATCAGTGGTAGATGACTACATCATTACAGTTCAGACAGACATACTTGTCTCATCTCATCAGACCAAGTTAAATATGGGAACCTACCTTATGCTAGAACATGAGTATTTATTAGGCTTGGTTGATCCAGTCCGTTAATTTCTTATCTCGTTATTAATTCGTTCAATAAATACCTTTAGAAGCGATATCGACAGGATTTGGGAACCCAGAAGTGATCTTGCCATTTCGAAGCCGCGTCCGCCATCTTCCTTACGACTTCCGCCAGTAAATGCTGGGGGCGTGGCCTTCAGGAACAGCTGTTCTTACCCACGCCCACCTCCTTCCTCTTTGCATCGGTGGCTTTGCAAGGTGGTTGCAAAGCCCACCTCGCAAAGCCGCTGATGCAAAGAGGAAGGAGGTGGGCATGTCCAAGCACAGCCCTCCTTGGAGGCCTCACCCCAGCGACCTCTGAGGAGCACTGTGCTTGGCCACGCCCACCTCTCCCTTCTGCATGACTGACAGCTTGCCCGGGAAGAGAAGGGAAGGTGAGCGATTTTTAGTGTTAGTTAAAAGGTCGCCAGGAAAGAGAAGGAAAGGTGAGCGATTTTAAAAGTGTTAGCTAAAAGGTCGCTGGGGGCGAGGCCTCTGAGGAGGGCTGTGCTTGGCCATGCCCACCTCTCCCTTCTGCATGGAAGCTCGCCGCAAGGGAAGGAAGGGAAACTGCGAGATTTTAATGGTTCTGGAGGGAGGGAAGGGCACCTTCCATTAACGAAACAAAGGAAGCGATTCGTATTTCCTGGTATTTCCGATCTTTTTTTAAAGAAAATTTGGAAATAATTTCAAAATCGAACCGCCAGTGCCCCCTATATACGAAACAAGTTTAGAACCATTTTTTTTCTTTATCAACCAAGCCTAGTATTTATCCATCCCAGTGTTGGCTACTCACTCTGCAGATCTCTCCAAGGTCTCAAAGTTTGACCCCCAAAGAATGCTGATACCTTGACCGTACCTTTCTCAACCCTGAGATTCCATTGTGTTCTCTGATGGCTGCCAAAAGGGAGGAGCGCTCATTTTCTGGTTCTGTGAACGATGGTTTCTTCTGCGTTCCACTTCTTGCGCTGGGTGAACTCTAACACAAGACCAAACACACATGCACAAATTGATACATCTGGGTAATTTGAATTTCTGGGTGATTACTATTGGATGCTTGACTATCTGACTTTGACTTTTACCTAGCTGGAATATACTGAAATTAAATAGCTGTATTTACTCGAATATAATGTGCCATTGAATGTAATATGCACCTCAATTGTGAGGATGCACATTACAAAAAATGGATTTGCCTTGAAATATAATGTGCTCAACAGTGCAGCCATAGCACATCAAAAGAGGCAGACAACATGAAGGAGGCTATACAGGAAGCCATGCATCTCTGTAAAGCAGAGGCTGGCAGCCAACCTCACACAATTCCCAACTGGTGCTATTCATGAGGCCTTCAAAACAGAAGGGGATGTTTTGAAAGCCTAATGAATGAGGGCAGTTGGGAGCTGCATGGGACAGAGCCGGGGGGGGGGGGGGGGGGGGGGGGGGGGGGGGAGAGACCCCAAGGACAACAGAGGACTGATTGGTCACCAACTGGGTGCTCCTCATCCTTCTCTAGGAGTCACAGAACCTTGAAGCTGCCACCACCAACAGACAGCGCCTTTGCGCCCATCACTTCCCTGTCCAGCCTCTGGAGTTCGCAATTCTGACATGCTATCAAATCTAATGCATGCCTCAATTTTGATAATGTAATTTAGCCAAAAAAAAGGTAAATATGTTAAATTTGTGCATAAGAGCTGGGCATGCTAAGTACTGGTCACAACACTGATCAGAAAAGAAAGAAAAATAGATGAGCCCTTTGTGTTCGATTTTATTATGTCAATTTATATTGTTTATTTCATTTGTTATTATATATATATTGTTATGATGTATTTCCTTGTTATTTTGTGTTAAATTATGTTGTATTATTTTGGGCTTGGCCTCATGTTAGCTGCCCCGAGTCCCCTTTGGGGAGATGGTGGCAGGTTATAAATAAAGATTATTATTATTATTATTATTATTATTATTATTATTATTATTATATTCTTGATAGAAAAACTGTACAATGAAAATATTTGATTACAATGTTTGGATTAAATTTCTTCCATGCATTATATGATCATTCATAGCTCTCTCTAGGTAAAGGTAAAGGTAGTCCCCTGACATTAAGTCCAGTCATGTCTGACTCTGGGGTGTGGTGCTCATCTCCATTTCTAAGCCGAAAAGCCAGCGTTGTCCGTAGACACCTCCAAGGTCATGTGGCTGGCATGACTGCATGGAGTGCCGTTACCTTCCCGCCGGAGCGGTACCTATTGATCTACTCACATTTGCATGTTTTCGAACTGCTAGGTTGGCAGAAGCTAGGGCTGATAGTGGAAGCTCACACCGCTCCCCGGAATCGAACCTGCGACCTTTCAGTCAACAAGCTCAGCAGCTCAGTGCTTTAACCCACTGCGCCACCGGGGGCTCCAAGCTCTCTCTAAGATGATGCAATTATCTGTATTGTCTGTATTGCTGACATCAAATTGTGCCTTTTGTAAGCCGCCCTGAGTCCCCCCTCAGGGGTTGAGAAGGGCGGGGTAGAAATGCGCGAAATAAATAAATAAATAAATATTGGATGCTAATTATAATCAGTTGTCTCATTTGTTGCAGTAAATTCCAGTGCTCCTTTTGCTACTTTAAACAAGTGAAGCTTTCATTACTATTGTATAACAAAATGTAGTGCATGCAAAAAAGAACAGTAACTTGGTGTAGTATCTTGTCATAATTTTAAAAAGTGGATATGTGCAGTGGTTCACTGGAAATAATAAGCATTATAAAACAGGCTGGTGCTAAAATAAAAAGCTAAGACTACCATAGCCAAAAAGTTCCTTCAGATGTTACAGGGAGTTTTGTGAACATAGTTGCTGGAACTTTTTCAACAAAGTTATTTTACCTTTCGAAGCTTATCTCTTCCTCCAGAAGTCTGAATGGCTTCCATTAAAGCACTATGTAGTGACATATCTTTTGGAACTGGCTTCTGGATGACTGGCTTAAACTTTTTCTTTGGGCCAAAAACATCATATATAATGTCATTGTTAGACTCCGGTTCACTCCTTGTACCTGAATCACCATGTTTCTCATTTTTATTTGAAAACATATGGCTAACTGTAAGTGTGTCAAGTGATGCTGATGATCCAATGCTAAAACGATGCTCCAGAGTTGGCTTCATGGATGATGAGGGAACATCAGATGATCTACGGAAAGACGGAGGACTTGCTTGATCAGTTTTTTCCTTTTTCTGATTTAATACAGGAGGAATTTGTCTATTGATTGCCTTTTGCATAGAACCAGAAATGGGTTCCTTTTCAGGGATGTTACTATTTTTCGACAATGTTGCAGAACTTGGTGCACTGTCGCAATGAGAAGATTTGGTCTGATATGGTAATTTGATATTGGTTGTGTTATTTGTTATCCTAGAATGAACTCCAACTGGTACCACATTTGATACAGTTTTTCTGCAGCTTGAATAAGTTTCATCTACTTTTGCTGATTGTGTTTCCACTGGACAGCATCCGGACACAATTATACATTTTTGGGAATCTGATTCTATCCCCTTTTCATTACTGGTCTCTTCTTCTCTGCTCTGCCTTTCCTGGTTAGTTTCAAACTGGGCTGAATCAATATATTTTGCAATTATGGAAGCAAGGTAATGGCTTGATGTTATTTTTTGGGGCTTCTGAAGCCGAAGCACTGTCTTATTTGTGCTAACCACTGGATCTCTTACAGTTTTCATGGAAGATTCTGTGGCAATAACAGGTGGCTTTGTTTTTTCAGTTTCTGTATTATTTTTAACTGCCATAGAATCAAATGGTGATGATATTGTCATTTTCATATTTGTAAGGCAATCAGGATTGTTGTTTGAGATTTCATTGAAAGGTTTAGAATGGGTGATGACCACTGGTTTAGTAGAATGGTCTACTGGGAACTCTTCCAATTTTCCCCCCATCGAATTTAACTTCCAAGGTGTGTTAGCTGTCCTAATTAGGCAATCAGGATTGTTGTTTGATATTTCATTGAAAGGTTTAGAATGGGTGATGACCACTGGTTTAGTAGAATGGTCTACTGGGAACTCTTCCAATTTTTCCCCCATCGAATTTGACTTCCAAGGTGTGTTAGCTGTCCTAATTAGGCAATCAGGATTGTTGTTTGATATTTCATTGAAAGGTTTAGAATGGGTGATGACTACTGGTTTAGTAGAATGGTCTACTGGGAACTCTTCCAATTTTTCCCCCATCGAATTTGACTTCCAAGGTGTGTTAGCTGTCCTAATTAGGCAGTCAAGATTGATGTTTGATATTTCATTGAAAGATTTAGAATGGGTGATGACCACTGGTTTAGTAGAATCGTCTACTGGGAACTCTTCCAATTTTTTCCCCATCAAATTTGACTTCCAAGGTGTGTTAGCTGTCCTAATTAGACAGTCAAGATTGATGTTTGATATTTTATTGAAAGGTTTAGAATGGGTGATGACCACTGGTTTAGTAGAATGGTCTACTGGAAACTCTTTCATTTTTTTCCCCATCGAATTTGACTTCCAAGGTGTGTTAGATGTCCTATTTAAGGTATCTTGTGAATCATTTGAAGTCTTATTTCCTGTTACTTTTCCAATATCAGCACCATTTGGAGTCACTAGGTTGCCTAACTCATCTATTTTAATGGCACCAGTGGAAAGGGATACATCTCGATCAAAATATTTTACATCAGGTTTGGGAGGAATAACTTTAAAGGTTGTCAGGCCAATTTTAGGTTCATAGTCTGTAAGTCCATTGTCTATACGATGGCACCATATAGATGGCAATAGGGAAGCTTCTTTCCTGATGAATTTTTTTTCTGATGCAGGCCTGATTTCCAGATCAATTTTCATTTTGCTTGGAAGCTCTTCCTGGGTATTATCCTTATTTAAGAGCCTTACATCCTCTTTTGACCTTTGTTCATAAAGTTTGTTCATAAATCCAAGGCTAGAATCAATCACCTTAGCTTTTGATTCTTCAGAATCAGTTTTATTTTGTGACATGACTTCTTGGCATGTATTGTTATTTTGTTCACATGAGGGTACATATATATCGGAGTCATCTTTCTGTTCCTTTTCCATCTGGTGCCTAACATCTTCTTTAGGAGACTGCTGCGGTGATAAATCCTCACATAAACAGGGAGACACAGGATCTACACATTCTTCAATGAAAGATCCACTGTTATTATTTTCATTGGTCTCTTCACCGAGACAAATCGATTGAACGGAAATATCTTGATTAGACTCTCTCTTGGAAAGCAAACACCTTTCTTCCTCTCTGCTGCACTGAATTTTGATATCAACTTCTGGAATTTCATCTATGATTGTCACTGGCACAGGAAGTGAAACATCTTGGGCAGTCTCAGCAGCTTGTGAAGGAGGGATGGGTGCACAAGACAAAGATTCGTTTTCTGAAGTGTCATGCATATCTTCTATTGCTGTAAAATATTTATTTGTTCATTAGCCAACTTCATAACACGTATCAGGGTGGTGTATAATTGATTAAAACGAAAACATTTACAATGACAGAAACATTGTGGGTAGAAATCTGTTTTGTCTGAAATGGAAGTTCTTTCACAAAGATGCATTACAGAGACAAGCAAATGCATGCCTAATATCAATTGGAGGTATAAGATATATTCTGATATGCTGAAGATCCTTCTCCAAGTGTACTTTAATGAGATTTCAAAGCCATATGGAACCAATAAAAATGCCTCCTCAAAAAACCTCAAAGGTCAGGGAGAATGACAGAGACATGGCATCGAATTGTACCAGATGTAAGCCACCCTGAGTGTCCCCGCCCCCCAGGGGGTTGAGAAAGGCGGGGTACAAATGTTTGAAATAAATAAATGCCTTCAAGTATCTTGGTCTTAAGTTGTTTAGGACTTTGTACACTGATGCACAGTGTACAAGCGATAGATGAAATAAAATATTTCCAAAATTGTGTACTATAACACCATATTATATCAAAAATATTATCAAATAATGATTGCCCCCAAGGATCTGGGTTTTTTTTAATGTTTTTAATGTTTTCCCTACAAAGCAGTCCCTTCTAGAGCAAACTGCCCAATTTATTTGAAAAGCTTATTGCAAAACATTTTTGCTATGCAAGAAACTGGTGCTGACACTAGAACAAAGCTTCTGAAACCATTTGAGGTTCCCTAACTGAATGTTGGAGTCATAAAAAATGTAACCTGCCACCTAGTGGCTTGTTTTAGACATCTACATGAATCTGTTAGCAGCAACATGCAGCAAATACTTCAGCTGTACTTCTTAAAAATGGAAAACTGCCTTGCAAATGCTGATATTGCTTGATTACTATCGTTTCAGTATCAGAAATGCTCCCTTCAAATTTTGATTTTAAAAAAAAGTTACATTCATAAACCAAACTCAATTGAAACAAAAACATCAGTTAACACTCATTAAAAGTTCAAGAAGAATTTGTGGAGGGAGGGAGGATGTAGATTGAATGCATGTTATGTATGTGATGGGAATAAGAGAGAAGTGGGTAAGGGTCCATTTCAGGTACATGGTCCACCCTACAACCTACATTGGAGGCATAAACCCCTAAAACATTCCAATTTGGACCTTCAAATCAGGAGGAAAAAGATTCAAGAGAGAATATTATAGCACTTAATGCTGCAAATCAAACCTGCCAGTGTGGACTGAAAAATGTTGAGAATGCTCTACACCCTGCAGTTTGAAATATTCAAGATTATTTTTATGTAAAGATAAATAAGCACATCTTTCTCATTAGGATACACATTTGCTTTGGGGTCTTATCATACTCAAGCATTTATCTGTTTTAATCCATTTTAAATGTTGTGACTGCCTCTTGCAGAATTCTGGGGTTTGTAATTTAGGGAGGTTTCTGTAAATTGCTCATCCAGAGAAGCCCTGGGCCTCCCAAACTACAAACCCCAGAATTCTGCAGAAGGCAGTGACAGCATTTGAAATGGATGAAAATGGATAAATGTGCAAGTGTGATGAGGCCCAATAAATGGTAAAATTATATTATAATAAAGAATAATTTTAAAATAAATTGATTATCAGTAAACATTTGATTTGTATACATAATTTATATATCTATAAACCCAAGGTTGTGTAAAAATTAATTGGGCAAAAAAGGGTCATGAGTGGAAGATGTTTAAGTAGCTCTGCACTAGAATAATATTTGTGTTATGATAGTTCACTTGTCTCTTTCTATTCGATCCACAGACCTACCTGCTAGATCTTTGTCCAATTCAGCCAAGGTGTCTTTCAGCCGATCAGCAATAAATATATCTGAATTCTCAACCTTAGCTTCCATTACTTCAGTGTCACACTTGTCTCTAATTTAAAAAGAAAAAAATATTGCCTTAAAAAATTGATAGCATCTGACCAAATTCATCCTGCACTGATTCATCTTTATATATAAAATATCAGCCTGCGTATGTTTGTGCACGCAAAACTTGAAAAGTAGACGGTCAAATGACTTGAAATTTTAACACAACTTTACTATCCAATATGTGTGTTTTAACAGTAAAATTAAAAAACGCATCTGTTTTAACAGTAAAACTAGCAGTCCAGGAATAGACAAGAATGATCCCAGCACCCAATCTTATGAAAGTTGTCCAAAAGAAAATCTGTGTAGCCCATGGTAACCAAACCCAGCCTTGCTTTCAAAACACAGAGCATCTATCAGAAAACCACAGCAGTAGAAGAGATAACAACCAATCATAGCGCAGCTTTCCTTACACCACAGCAGCATAAGAAAAACGAACCAATCACAGTGCTGCTATCATTTTACCACAGCACTTAAAGAAATGGAAACAGAGCTCTGATTGGCAATGGAAATAGAACAGGGGAAATCAATGTGATTGGGATTTTTAATTATGCCAGCATTCATCGCCAGGTGCTGAAGAACGCTCAGGCAGACTATTCTCTTAAGTCATAGTACCACATTCATTAATAATCTGAAGTCCCGTGCCCACGTTTGAACACAGGCCACAGTTCTCAACACACAAACACAGAATGTCAATGGAGACCAAACCACACTGATCAGTAATGTTTAGACAAAAACACTCCGCTCGTCACTTCTTTCCAAGATGAAGAAGAAGCATTAGTGAGCACCCTCTGGATTCGTCCATTAAACCAATTCCAGATCCACCTCACTGTAGTTTTGCCTAGCCCACATTGGACTAGTTTGCTTGTAAGAAGGTCATGGGGGACCTTGTCGAAGGCCTTACTGAAATCAAGATATGATACATCCATGGCATTCCCTGCATCACCCAAGCTTATAACTCTATAGAAAAAAGAGGAGCATGTGAGGAAGCTGCAAAGTTTGAGGGAAGATCCATGGCATCCTCCAACTTTTAGGTAACAGGGGGTAAACCTGCAGTAAGTGGACATGCCTAGTGTGTGTTTGTGTGTATGTGCGGGGGGGGGGGGGGACTTCCTTGTGGCATATAGATTCACCCCGACTTGGATTATTTGACCCATAAAGATAGGCTCCCAGTCTTCAGATTTTTTCAGTTGTAGTCTCCATTCTGATTAATAATTGAACGAAGGCATGGAAAAACTCAATTACTTCATTGTCTGCTTTAAAAACATGTAAATTTTGTGGGGTCATTATTTTTATTTTCTTGATGTCCAACTGTAAACCCTATTGATTTTAAAATTCTGGGTAAACTATTTGTGTATGGAAGACTCATAACCAGACTCACTGTTCTTGCTGCAATCTCAGCCCATTAAGTACACAAAGTAAATTTAAACTCTGGTGGTAGACTGTAGATTGTACTTCAACAGAAAGAAGAAATTAGATTTAACATGAAAAGACGAAACACAGATTTTATTTTCCCACATAATTCTACACAACAAAAACAACTGATCAGTACGACAGTGACCTAATGCTGCCCCAGCAACTTATTCTTAATTATAGTGATAGATCAAGAAAAAACAGATGCATGATATTGTGATTTAGGAAATAGATTGTGGGAATGATACTAGAAAATCACAAAGGGGTCTTTAGAAGAGTACAACAACAGAGCTACGGCAAAGCTGTGTTATTAGAGAGGAAGGAATAGATTTAGAGTTTTAGAAAAAAGGTGAAAATAATGTCACAACAATTAACATTTACATCATATCAGAAGAAAGGGAACACATTTTTTCTGGGCTGTTCATAACCAGTTGGAAAATCATAACCAACCTGATTCATTATATGGAAAACCTGGACAGAAGTATTGCAACATTTGGAGACACACATAATAATGGTTTCCAGATTCATGTTTAAAAGGTCATTTTCATGATTTCAGATCTTTCCCCAAAAAAGTGCTTTTGGCCTGACAATATTCTTTCATCTAAGCGTTAGAGATCAAACTAACATGGTTCAAGGTTAATATCATATTACAGTATAGGAAAATACGTACATATATGGGAAGCTACAGAAAAAGAGCAGGATGAACACAGTATAATCCTACAAAATGGTTAGAATACAAATATTTGGAAGGACAAGAAATTCAGTCAAATTCAATGAAACCTTGTGGCAGTATTAATGTTGTAGCTCAGACTGAGTCTGAGTCTGACACTGAACTGTGTGGCCCTTCTGGGCCTGGGTTTTCTGAGCCTGAGCATGATTTTAGGCAGGATGACGAGGAGAGTGATGGGTTGCAGATTTCTGTACATGCTCCAGATGGGGCTGATAGTGTGCCTTCTGAAGAAGAAACAGCAAGCCTGTTTCCCGAGGAAAGGAATGTGTCTTTAGATAGAGACAGTGAAATCCCACAAGTGCAGCTGGAGACTCCTTTCGGTTCCCAGAGTGATTCGGCCCAGCTGGGCCAAGATAAAGAGTTTGAAGATAGTGAATTAATGAGCAGCAGGACCGTTTGCAATTAAGAGTCCGCCGAAGCACATGCCTTGCTAGCAATAGGGAAGCCAAAGGTCAACGCAATGCTTTCATGTTTGGGAGGGTTATTTAATGGTGTAGCTGACAGACATTTGTTGTCAGTTCAATGTTACTTCTTCCCTGTTAACTGCTGTGGAATAGTCTTGGCTTTTGTGGACCGCTTCTGGCTTATTGAAGACTGTGTTTCTGTTCCTGATTTTACCTGTTTGTTGTGGACTCTTGTTTGATCATTGCTAAGGAATTATGCTTCGTGTTTTTGCCTGTGGATCCTGGAAACCTTGCCTTTGCTTTTAAGACTCTATTTTGCCTTTGGAACTTCTGCAGCTTTATTTCTCTGTTTTGATTTTGCTTTTTCTCAATAAACTATAAACTACAGCCTTGGTGTGTGTTGGTGTCTTGAGCAAGGTGAAAACTACCCTGAGTTGCGACAATTAAATATTTCTCCTGACCTTATGGTTATTGGTATGGACATATTAGATTGTTTTGGAATAAAACACTTTACTTAGGATGAGTAAGAGAAAAAGAGAGAGAGATAGAAAGGGGGCGTGAAAGTTTTATTTTACAAAACATTAAGTTAAACAGGGATCATTTTCCAGATTGCTTACAAATGAGACTAACCTTTGGTAAATGTTCCCAGAATGATCACCATTGAAAGAATCATCCTTTATACTGCAAACCTCGGCAACAAGCACTGGAGCCATTTCAGTCTCCTGGGAATCAACCGACTTGCTTCTTGAACTCATGCTGCCATTTTGGGAATTCAATGATAAAACATCAGAAGGGGAACTCATTACATCTGAATCTTCTGTGGTATCCTCTGAAGCAAAACAGCTGTTGACAGATATGGTCTCATCTGTTTCTGAGAGCTCCAGAACTATGTTATCCATGCTGTTAGTATCATGCGAAGCCTGTAGATTGTCTAAATGAAATATGGTAAAATTAAGTTAAATGTTAACCTGTACTCCTATGAAACATACTCCCTAAATACAGGATTAATCTGTTTAACATAATTTGTTGCTGTATAGTGATTCACCCTTGCCCCCAAATAATTCTATTTCAAATTCAACCTCAAAATGATCTTGCAAAAGTGAAATCCCCACGGCATTAACAAAAATGTTTTAACATCTCAAATACAGGATAAACAAATAACAAAGATAACAATAAAACCAACATCCCACCTTTTCCCAGCCCTGGGAATCAAGGCAGCTTCTATAAGTTAAAACATCATACTATAATTAAAACTTAATTAAACTACCAATAGATTTAGAAGCATTTAGAAGCACGCCCATTAAAAAGGAAAACCAACATATATAGACAATGAAAGACCTTTTCCCCATGAGCAATCCGTGCATTCCCCATGAGCAATTCCACCTTCCTATGGAAGGATAGCACGAGGGTGTCAATCTAGCCTAAAATGATGAAATAAAGATTACATATATGCATAAGTATATACTCAGATTTTCCCCCAGTCTGGGAGGCAGGACTGTTTACAAAAGTTAAAACAGATACAGCTAAATAGTAATTTCAGATACATTAAAAATAGAACTAAACTATCAACAAAATTAAAATACACTAAAAGCACATTATTATAAACCAAAGAAATGTAAGCACCAAAGCATATTAAAGATCCTTTCCCCCATGCATTTAATTGTCAATGGCACATCAAAACATGGTCTTCACTTTCCTGCAAAAGGACAAACTCTCAAATCTCTTTAGGAAAAGAATTTCAAATCCAGGAATCATAGAATCACAGAGTTGGAATAGACCTCGTGGGCCATCCAGTCCAACCCCCTGCCAAGGAGCAGGAAAATCGCATTCACAGCACCTCTGCCAGATGGTCATCTAGCCTCTGTTTAAAAGCCTCCAAAGAATGAGCCTCCACCACACTCTGGGGCAGAGTGTGGTGCTGAACAGCTCTCACCATTAGGAAGTTTTTCCTAATGTTCAGGTGGAATTTCCTTTCATGTACTTTGAAGTTTGAAGTCTTTGTTCCACGCCCTAGTTTCCAGGGCAGCAGAAAACAAGCTTGCTCCCTCCACCCTATGACTTCCCCTTACATATTTATACATGACCATCATATCGCCTCTCAACCTTCTCTTCTTCATAATAAACAAGCCCAGCTCTTTAAGCTGCTCCTCATAGGGCTTTTTCTCCAGACCCTTGCTCGTTTTAGTCACTCTCCTCTGGACACACTCCAGCTTAGAGTCAACATCTGCCTTAAATGGTGGTGCCCTAAATTGGGCAGAGTATTCCAGGTTGGTCTGACCAAGGCAGAATAGAGGGTGACTTCCATGGATCTAGACATTATACTCCTATTTATGCAGGCCAAAATACCACTGGCTTTTTAAGCTGCCACATCATAGTGTTGGCTCATGTTTAACTTGTTGTCCACGAGGACCCCAAGATCTTTTTCACATGTATGCTCTCAAGCCACACGTCCCCCATTCTGTATCTTTGCATTTCATTTTTTCTGCCTAAATGGAGTATCTTGCATTTGTCACTGCTGAACTTCATTTTGCTAGTTTCGGCCCATCTCTCTAATCTGTTAAGGTCATTTTTAATTCTGCTGCTGTCTTCTGGAGTATTAGCTATTCCAATTTGGTTTTGTCTGCAAATTTGATGATGATGCCTTCTAACCCATCATCTAAGTCATTAATAAATATGTTGAACAGAACGGGCCCAGAACCGAGCCCTGCGGCACTCCACTTCTTTCCAGGATGAAGAGGAAGCATTGGTGAGCACTCTTTGGTTTCATTTGTTTAACCAATTACAGATCCTCTAACAGTAGTTTTGTCTAGTCCACATTTGACTAATTTGTTTGCCAGAAGGTCATGGGGGATCTTGTTGAAGGCCTAACTGAAATCCAGACATGCTACATCCACAGTGTTCCCTGCATCTACCTAGCTTGTACGTGTATAAAAAAAAAGAGATCAGGAGGCATCTACCAAGAAGGATATCTCCCATGTTACTATGAGAAGGACCTGTGAGGATGGTAGGATAAAGAAGGGGCTTCCTAGGTCAAGGGGTTTCCTGTGTAAACTGGATTATTGAGACCCACTTCAATCTAACTCTGACATTGTTATTGGATGCAGACTGTTTTGGTTGCCTTAGTGGCTGAGCTACATAGGGACCTGGACAGGGGGAGCACACATCTTAATGGCTTTCAGTACCATCAACCAAACAGACTTATAGCATGTAAGCAGGATAGCTTTTTTCATGGGGATATTGTATTCATCTTTTTAAAATGCGTGTTTCTTTTTTTAAAAAATACTGTTTTATGTGGTTTAAATTGTTTTACATTTTACTGTGAACATTTTTAATTGAAAATGTTGTGTAGATATAGTTTTTCACATAGCCTACCTAAGCCATGCTGAGCTTTTTGTAACATAACCAGAATTTTGAATTGTGCCTGGAATGTGCCATCAGCTAGTGAAGTTATTATGGAAAAGGAAGTGACATGCCCCATCAACCATTGTCAATTTGCATGGAAACGTCAGTGATAAACTACAAGAAAAATAAGACTAACATCCAATGATTTCCTATATTTTACAAGAACATAAACAAAGCAGACTAGCTTAAGTTGGCTGGATTTACCAGGAACTAAAGAGTGTGGAAAAAGAGCCCGTGTGGTATAAGATTTGGGTGTTGGATTATGGGTTCAAATCCTCACTAAGTCAAGGAAAGCCACTGGGTGACATTGGACAAGTCACATTCTCCCAGCCTCAAAGGAAATCAAAGACAAATCCCTTTCATTCATATGATCAGAGAGCAGTAAATGCAATATGAGGAGTGTTAATAAACTCAATAAAATGAACATCTCATGGCACACACTTTCATGCACTAAAACCAACCATATTGCTGCCAAGCGGTTTGTCTACAATCTCAATACAGGCATACCTTAACAAATTCTCTGACAAAGAAGCTCCTTTTTTGATAAAGTCTTTTTATGTCCCCATGCCAGCCTTATCTTCCTCCTTGTCTTCTGTCTAGATGGAGGTTTTTTGTTTGCTTACTTGTTTATAGCAAGCATCAGAATTAGAAGAATGGCAAAGGAAGGCTGGAGAAACACAAACTTCTGGTGTCAAGTTGCAGAGACGTGCCTGAAGTAAACAATGCAGTAAAGCCTGAGTTGGGAAAGAATGGGCTATGCTTGCCAATCCTAACAGAGCTGTGTGTGCTTGCCTACACCAGGGAAGTTAATCAGCAGCCCTTATTGAGCGTACATTGACAAGAAAAGAAAGACAAGAGGAAAGCACAGAGGTCTGCCTCACCAGCAATTCTCAGCATTTTAAAGAAGATACACAAATGAATTATGGGAGGTTCAAAGTGTTTGGGGTTTTACTTCTGCAAGGTTCACATGATCTGGGTTTTTCATTTCACATGTTGATATTGTTAGGTTTGCATTAAAAAGTTGGTGAAACATATATATTTTTTCTTTTTTAGGGTATTAGGACCTATGCGTTTCATGTTATTTCTTCCTCCAGCATCAAAGTTTATGTTACAGATTTAATACCCAGACATACACTTGCTCTGTTAATTGAGATATACAGGCAGTCTCCGGGTTATGAACAAGATACCATATATACTCAAGTACAGGCATGTAGAGGGGGGGGGGCTTTGGGGGCTTCAGCCCCCAAATATGTTTATTCATATTCAGATATGTTTATTCATATCATAAACAGAGGAGTAATATGCTCCCTGTACCCCGCTCCTGTTAGTAATCTTGCTGCCGCTCGTTGGACTAATTGCAGCTTCCGGGCAGTCTTCAGAGGCAACCCCATGTAGAGAGCGTTGCAGTAGTCTATACAGGATGTAACCAGAGCGTGGACCACCGTGGCCAAGTCAGACTTCCCAAGGTACGGGCGCAGCTGGCGCATAAGTTTTAATTGTGCAAAAGCTCCCCTGACCACCGCCGAGACTTTAGCTCTCTCAACCTGAGTACTGAAAAAAAAATACTTCCATTTCTTGTTTTACAAAATCTAACCTTATTTATTTATTTATTATTTACTTTACTTCTATACCGCTGTTCTCAGCCCGGAGGCGACTCACAGCGGTTCACAAAACACAGGACACAGCAAAATTCAATGCACCAGTATAAAAACAGGTAATAACCTAATCTAATACACAGTTAGTACACAATTACTATCATAACCATTCACTAGCGTCTCATCACTAAAAAACATGATCCAGATTCGTCATCCATTGTTCCATTCCTATGTCATTACCAGTCATTGCACTAATTATTCGAACGCCTGCACAAATAACCAGGTCTTTACTTTTTTGCGGAATACCATTAGAGATGGTGCTAATCTGATGTCTGTGGGAAGGGCGTTCCACAGCCAGGGAGCCATCACCGAGAAGGCCCTCTCTCTTGTCCCCGCTAGCCGTGCTTGTGAAGCTGGCAGGATCGAGAGCAGGGCCTCCCCGGAAGATCTCAAAGTCCTGGTGGGTTCATAGGCCGAGATGCGGTCGGATAGGTAGCTTGGGCCGGAACCGTTTAGGGCTTTAAAGGTCAACACCAGCACTTTGAATTGAGCCCGGTAGCAAGTCGGTAGCCAGTGGAGTTGGCGCAACAGGGGGGTTGTATGCTCCCTGCGTTCCGCTCCTGTTAGAATCATGGCTGCCGAGCGTTGGACTAGTTGAAGCTTCCGAGCTGTCTTCAAAGGCAACCCCACGTAGAGAGCGTTGCAGTAATCTAGACGGGATGTAACCAGAGCGTGGACTACCATGGCCAAGTAACCTTCTCTTATTCCTGCTTCTCATATTTCTTTTTCCTATTATGTGTGTTCTGCAGCTTTAGACTTTCTTTTTACCCCTGAGTATGTCCACATCTGAATGGCCTTGCATCATTAGCCTCAGCCCTATTTCTGCTTGTCTTTTGCTGAACCCCAGAGCTGGTTGAGTGCTTTCCAGCCTGAC